TTGATCTTGCCACCCTCGGAGTTGATCATGTAGGGTTCTCTTCCGCTAGGCCATATAAAGGTATAGCCTTGCTCCATGCAACGTTTTCCCAACGACAAAACAGATGGGGTATCTTCCAATACATGAGCCCTTGCAGGATCATTGAACGTGTCGAAATCCAAATCCACCATCGTGGTTGTTGATGTGATGCCATTCGCAGTGTGGAAGTTAACTAGATCACTCTGGTAGGTGTCGATGTCCATCCTATCCACTCTAGTAGACGAGATAAGATCATGACCACTGCCAGAGTCCATGATGAAACGCCGGTCCTTGAGCTCAATCGGCATAGTGATGCACATGACATTGTCACGACGACCATATTGTCCTGGAACATGAGGAATCACTTCCTCATAGCATATCTCAGCTCGTGAGTTGTTCTCCAAGAAATCAATGTTGTTGATCTTGAGTTTGATATCATTCTTGGGTCCCAGGATAATGTATACTTCATCAACGTCAGAAAATTCACCATAGTCGTCCATCAGTATGCCAATTGCACGTGCTCTTGTCATTCCCAACTTGGATTGTAGCACCCATTGTTGGTCATCCATGATTCCTTTGGTGGTTCTGCACGTCAATGACTTCTTCTGAGCTCTGGACATGTTTCTCTTTGGCTTCCTGTTGGAACATTCCACAAAGTCAGGCTTCACATACACGATGGTTTCCACCTTGTCATTGAACTTGACATCCATCTTGTTCTTCTTCTCGATAGGTACTGCATTCACGATGAAATCATCATCGTACTCACGGATCAATGCCGGAGTAGCTTTGGCGTCGGGCGTCTTTGTAGAAGGCGCCGCTCTCTTGCCTTTCATGCTTGGGTCATGCTTGAAGGTACATTTGTCACCTTTCTGACAATCGCCCTTTAACCAACCATAGCAATGTCGATCCTTCTTTCCACCAGGGGTCTGCGATCTCCTTGGAGTAGCCGATCTGCTGTTCTTGCCTTTGCCACCTTTGTCCTTCCTCTTGTCCCAATATTGGGAGTAACTATATTGGCATTTGTCACCATGCTTGCAATTGCCCTTGTTAAAGTGGAAGTGACAAAAGGTCTTCGAAGTATCTCGTGTGGAAGGTGATCTCGATCTCTTGCCACCCTTGCCTTTCCCCTTGCCATGGCTCTTGGGATTGCCGGAAGGTAGAACAGGAGCTCCAGGCTTGCCTTTGGGTGCTGGAGCACTCGGTTTTCCACCCTTCCCATCCTTCGGCGTAGGTGCTGGGTAGTCCGTGGCAAACTTGTCCCTGGCCGCGATATTGCGATCTTCGCGTGCACGAGCTATGTGTCTCCTCATTATCTCCAAGAGTTCACCATAGGATTTCTTCTTGTCATCATTGTCCCTACCCTTGAAGATCGTGAGGTCGACGTGCAATGCCTGGGAACCATCAATCTTCCTCAGCAGATGGTCATGCAGTGTATTGTCAGATGGAATGTCCTCAGCCTTCATGTTGGCGATGATCTCAATCCAAGCATGGAGGAACTTATCCATCTCTTTATCACCACGATACTGTAACTTGTAGATGTGGCTGGCATTGAACAATACTTCATCTTTCGATGTTGTCCTGAAATGATCTAACACCATTGCCAATATCTCCCTGCCCATCAGGAAATTCCCTTCTTTTCCCAAAACTTGACTCCTCTGTCTGATCCGAACCTTGACCTCTGATGCCGTCTCGCCAGCGGAGTCTACCATGTTCTGCAAGGCAATGGACAACTTGGAGTCAATGGATTGGAAACGGAATTCTCCTGAATCGGCAAGTTCAGCATAGTCAGGACTGGGTAGTAGAGCAGGAGATAGCCATCTTCTCCATGCTGCCGTGTCTGGATCACCTGATGCAACACATACGGCTTGCACGACGTTGGAACGCCAAACATAAAGATCTTGGCATTTTGGCCATGGCTTGACAGTGACCTTCTCGTGCTCCTTCCTGGAAATCCTAGTTACCCAATCTTTGCCATCTTGACCAGCATCACTGTTTGCAACACTAGCATCCTTGCCATCTTTCCGTTCCCAAAGTCCAGGAGGATTATCAGGGACGGGCTCGAATTCAGGGGCTTTGCTGTCTTTCAAAGATTCTTGCCCTTCTTCAGCTTGTTCCAGCCAACTCTGATACTCTTTCATCTCGTCATAGTTCTGTTGAGCTCGTTCTTCAGACCGACGGAGCTTCTCGCGAAGATCGTCGATCTCGCTGTTGGTCTGGTTGTTGATGGCATTGGTCATGCTAGGTGATGGTGGTGGTGGTAGAGCAGGATCATGATTCTTTGTCGTAGAGGATGCCTTAGGCGTACCCATAGGTGTTGAAATCGATACTGCAAATGATGGAGTCTTGCCAGTAAGTGCCGTCGCCCTCGGGACTAGGGTCGTCGGAGGCACCGCTGATGGTGAGGCTGGTACTGTAGCTCTGGCCGATACTCTGCTCCATGACGCTGGCACCGTACTCATTGTCAGTCTTGCATCGTGGAGTGATTGTTTCAATGAGTCATTCTTTCTGATCACATGATCACGTTCAGAGCATGCCGACTGATAGAGCTTCTTGTACCTATCTGCCTCTGCCTCTTCGGCGTCGATGAGTGCCTCAGTGAGCTTCAGGTTACTTTCAACTGCTTCTTGAAGTCGACTGATCTCCATGTTGGCTTTGCGAAGTTCTTCACGTAGTTCTTCATTCACTTTGGCATTGTCTTCATCGCCACTAGCATGAAATCGAGATCCAAGAAGTTCAGCAACTCGTGTTCTCAACTGGTTGGTGGACTCAATCAAAGCCATGTTCTCATCCATGAGTTCGTCCTTGACGCGCTCGATGGTGATTTCCCTGTCCTTGAATGCACTAAGTTCATCATGCTTGAACTGGCGGAACTCGTTCTTCTCGTCAATGAATCGATTTGTATACCATTCCCGGGTAGCACTCTCGTTCTCATTCATTCTCATGAGGCTTCTGATCTCCACCTCGAGCTCGTTGTGCATCCGGTTGTACTCTTCCTCTCTCTCCTGAATCATGTTCTTCATGTCACGAACCTTCACAATGTGATCACGGTTCGCATCATCCCTGATAGCAATGAGGTTATCCTTGTGCGACAAACTGGCAGTCAGTTCGTCGATAGTTGATTGCATCTCTACCAACTGTTCATCACGTACTGCAACAGCTTGTTGGCCATATTCCATGATCATCTCATTGTTGTCAGCCATCATATGTGATTGCTCTGATAGTTTCAGTTTCAATTGCTCCATTTCTTCTTTGCTCGCATTCTCCCTGTCTTGAACATACTGTGTACATGCTTCACGCAGTTGTAGCCCATCTTGACGAAAGTGAACTGTCATAGCTTCAGATGTGTCATGTTGTTGACGAATAAGTTGTGATGCGTTCTCTAGTTCAGTGAGATACTTTCCCCTCATCTCAATACTTTCCCGAACAATGTGTGCCGCACCTGCTTCAGCAAGTTGACCACGCTTCTCCAGCTCGATGATCCTCATTGTTGAACCTTCGTCCAGGAGATGCGCCTCAGCTAGTGCGATCGTCTGCTCTTCAAGTACATGGTGTGCATCGATGAGGGAAACTCTCATGAATTCCATCTCGGAGTTGACATGTTCTTGATATTCCTCATGATGTTGATGTGAATAGATCTCCATGTTGTTAATCATCTGGTCACGGTGTGCAAGAACATCCTGATAAAGACTTAGCCTGTTTTCCAATTCAGTCCTTGCCTGTTCGCTCCTCTCCAGCTTCTCGGTATTGTGTTGTAGTTGACGTCGAAGACGTGCCTCGCTCTCATTCCTTGTAGCGCTGGTCGATGGCTTGCGTTTGGATGAGGTGGTAGACTTGCCTGCCTCATCCTCCCGCGTGGCCGCGCCCGACGGGCTTCGGCCACCGCCGTCTTCTGCAATGCGAGATCTTGCAGCGCGAGGTGATCTTGCCGATGTTGCTCTTCTGGCACTTCCTCCTCGAACTACGTCAGCTTGATTGACCACTGTGAAGCTGCTTGTTGATGCTATACTTCCAGCTGCACGGTAAGACATCGTGCCGCCGCCGCTCTCTTGGGATCCATGCGTGTCATTGATTGCCTGGGCCGGAGCAGCATTCGCTCCGAAGGAAACACTTGTGTCGTTGCTGCTCGACTGGTTCTTCTGCGACATCTTCTTGTTGTCAGTCCACCTCCGTTTGCTCCAAGCTCACGACTTGTAGTAGGGCAGGAGGACCAGGATGCCGATGAGGTAGAAGATTACGTGGGACCACCGTACGCTCAGCGTGAGCATACGGCTGATAACCTGTGAATGGGCTGTGGTCCAGCTCCTGTGCTTGTACTCGTTTGGGGTCGTTTCCTTCTTGTTCTCCTCGACCCAGCCGCCGGGCAGCACGCGCCTTTTCCATGAACCAGAGCGTTAGTAACTTGAGCCATAAGGCCGAGAGAGCGAAGCTGTAAAGTGCAATGAATTGAACATCATCTGTGCACAGCATTCCAATTACATATAATATATATGATTTTCTCCCATATACACAGTAGATGACTGCATCAATCGCAAACCAATCGCCGAGCAATCGCGATGCAGCGTTTTACAATCGCGGATGTCAAGATATACATACCCATTCATAATTCTTAGACTTGCATTTGCGATCGGCCCCCATGTGATGACAAGTTAGTATGTGATCAGTTGGCATGCGAAAAGTCGGTATGTGATGACAAGTTGGTATGAGATAAGTTGGCATGCGAAAAGTCGGTATGTGATGACAAGTTAGTATGTGATAAGTTGGCATGCGAAAAGTCAGTATGTGATGACAAGTTAGTATGTGATAAGTTGGCATGCGAAAAGTCGGTATGTGACAATGTGACAAGTTTGTGTGTGATGGCGGGAGGAGGCAGGAGGAGGTGGACGCGGTGGGAAGGCGGCCGGGTCTTTCTATTGATTGACTATTGCGAGAAGTCGAGAGATCAAAGCACTGACCTTTAGATTCAATCAGCAGCTCCTGAGCACTTTTTTTGCATTCCTGTGAGTACCTATTGGTTCGAAGCACTGTTGACTTCGAATGATTTCGCGGTCCTGCACTCCATGCAAGGCTCATCCGCGAAAATTCTCTCATCGGTGCCATCTCTTGGCAACAGCAGCAACGAAACAGCTCCCACAATTAGTTGTGGAGTTGTGGAAAACATCTTGCTGCTTGCTTGACATTGACAAGGCAATCCTTCAAAACAAACCAAATCTCGAGAATACAAGAGCTAAAAAGTTCTCCTGTTGACCCGGTGACATGAAACGTACTGGTTGGCGCGTCCTACATTTCTATACCCGTCCTCCAAGGTGTTGATATGTTCATTCTGCCTAGTGATAAGAGCAAGCAAGCCTCACCAGACTAACCTCCAGCTAATCTGGGCGCTTTTTGCACCATGAATGCAAGGCATCAAAATACAAAACATCAAGTCATCACATGAATCAGCGCATGGCAAGGAATGAATCACCATGACAAGTCCTTTTGCTTTGACAAGCATTGACCCATGTGGTCCACAGGTCCACCTGTCTTCTTTGCCAAGTATTCTCTCCCGTCAGCTTTGAAGGACTCTTGGATCATCTTCTCCATTTTCTCTTCCATCTCACTGCAGGGAGGAACCTGCACAAAAACCTTGCCATCCTCCACCTTCGTCTTGAAAGTTGAAAGGTTGAAGTTCGGGTTGCTAATGCCCTCACCGGTCACAAGGTTATAGGTGGTCTTGTAGATGGGGTCTGCCACGGTCAATGTCCCGTTGGGCTGCACTCCCACAAGGCCGCGCGAAATAGTCCGAGCCTGCTTGTGGGGGCATAGATTCTGCGTCGCCAACCACTGTTCCTTTGGTTCTGCGCTTGGAAGGTGGAACACTGCCAGTTCCTGCATGCCATGCTTCACACTGAGCCCACCATTTTTGGGGTAGGCGCTGACCAGTCCTGCAAAGATCCACTCCCAGTCACTCGAGTGGCTGTCCTCTTTTCTGTATAGTGCTGGGCCAGTGATGTCTGGTGGACTGTAAAGGTTGGGATGGCGCTGGCCTCGCATGTCAATGTATTCAATCTGTTCTGAGTCATGAATCTCTTTGGTGTTCGCAAAATGTTGGAATTTCTGGCGCAACTCCTCATCATATGCCACTGCCTTCCATTCACATTTTTCGTTGGCTCGGTTGCGTTCCATCATTTGCTCCAAATCAGCAGCTATGCCCAGAGAATCCTCGATGACAACCTTCTTCAAGTAATCAATGCCACCTTCAAGTTCAGCCAGCCAAGGTGCTGTGCGCTGCAGGTGCTTGGCTGTAGAAATGTAGTACATCAAGAATCGATCGACATATTTCAGGCACTCCTCGACTGAGCAGTCTGTGGCCAAAAGCTTAGCGTGCACTGGCTTGGCCCCACCATTGCCACACACATAGAGATTGTAGCCAGCCTGCGTGGCGATGACGCCCACGTCTTTTCCCTGAGCCTCTGCACACTCACGCAAGCATCCGGAAGCAGCCATCTTGATCTTGTGAGGCGCGCGAAGACCTTTGTAGCGATTCTCCAAAGTCACAGCCATGGTGACAGAATCCTGCTGGCCATAGCGGCACCAGCTTGTGCCCACGCAGCTCTTCACGGTGCGTAATGCCTTGCCATGAGAACGTGTGTGTCAACCATCGTCTTTTCAAGACTTCTGACCACGAGCTGCTGAATTTCATCATGTAGGTGGTTTTAGGGGAGGTTCATCATATATAATAATCCTAAAGTAGTTGGAATCTCTGAGTTTTCAAAAAAGACCCCTAGATAGAATCCGAAAATGGCTCAAAAATCCGGGTCGTTCACATTCAAAATATTCCAATAAAAATATTCCCAAAAAAATTGGCCTCTAGAATGAGCACAAAAGGGTCATTTAGGTTGTGATTTGGTTCCCGATTGCGTGTTTGGGCTTTTGAAACGAACACAAAATCACAAATAGGTGTTATTTTGCTGGTGGATTTCGTTCTGACATGCCCATTTCAACCCAAAATCTTCCAAAAAAAGGAAAGCAAGAATCCAAGATCTACCATCCAAAGTTAATTCTCACCAGCGCTGTGCCAGGACAGGTGCACAAACCTATAGATAGAATATACTCTAGAGCCATCGGTATAACTGAACTTTCAAAAGGATGCATGGGATTAAGTGTGTTTTTGTGGTGCGTCCTGCCCATTCCTCTACATCTACCCATCCGAAATTCATTTTTGGGTGATCAGTGATTATTGAAAGGACCATTTGAAAGGAAAACAGAATAAGAAAAGCTGGAATCCAACATCTACCATCCAAAGATCATTCTTGGAACTTTTTGAGGAGGAAACTTTATAAGGAGCATGGGACAAGAAAAGCAAGAATCCAACATCTACCATCCAAAGTTCATTCTCGGAACTTTTTGAGAAGGAAACTTTTAAAGGCACATGGGACAAGAAAAGTGGGAATCCAAGATCTTACCCTCCAAAGTTCATTCTTGGAGCTTTTTGAGGAGGAAACTTTGAAAGGAACATGGGACAAGAAAAGTGGGAAGACAGGTGCACAAAACTATAGATAGAATATACTCTAGAGCCATGGATACAACCGAATTCTGAAAAGGATGCTTGGGATTAAGTGTGTATCTGTGGTGCGTCCTGCCCATTCCTCTACATCTACCCATCCGAAATTCATTTTTGGGTGATCAGTGATTATTGAAAGGACCATTTGAAAGGAAAACAGAATAAGAAAAGCTGGAATCCAACATCTACCATTCAAAGTTCATTCTCGGAACTTTTTGAGCTGGAATCCAACATCGACCCATCTAAAGCTCATTCCTGGAACTTTTTGAGAAGGAAACTTTGAAAGGAACATGGGACAAGAAACGCAAGAATCCAAGATCTACCATCCAAAGTTAATTCTCACCAGCGCTGTGCCAGGACAGGTGCACAAACCTATAGATAGAATATACTCTAGAGCCATCGGTATAACTGAACTTTCAAAAGGATGCATGGGATTAAGTGTGTATTTGTGGTGCGTTGTGCCCATTCCTCTACATCTACCCATCCAAAATTCATTTTTCGTGATTTTTTAGAGGAACGTTTGAAAGGAAAATGGAATTAAAAAAACTGGAATCCAACATCTACCATTCAAAGTTCATTCTCGGAACTTTTTGAGAAGGAGACTTCTAAAGGAACATGGGACAAGAAAAGCAAGAATGGTGCGCAAAACTGGGTTTACTGGCTTACTTGATGTAGGATATGTTGTGTATCACCGCCACAAGCAAGAGATTTCAGGTGAATAGGTTGCATGGTTTCAGTGACGCGTCGCGTTCAACCAAAGGATCGTTGAGATGATCAAGCCAAGCGAACGAGATCAGCAAAGGAGAATCGGCTGGGGCACTTTGCTACGTAAATACAAGTAGGATTTATTGCACAGGGACGGACCAAGTTCTTGGTTGTAAGCTAGATGATAGCAAGATACGAGGAAACAAGACAAGACCGGACAACCCCGTTTTGGAGAAGGAACACTGCACGACTGACATGTGTTTGTGGCAGTCAGGGCACAAGACAAAACGGCCCTGCCTCGGAGGCAAAATCTAGACAAGACCGCCTTGCATGCAGGTGGCAGACAAGACACAAGACAGGACGGCCCCGCCTAGGATGCGACTCAGATGCGATAAGGAACACGAGGCAACTGACATGAGCAGATGACAGACAGTGCATTCAATCTTCGCAGATATCATGGACGGAACAACGGTGGCAGACGAGACAGACACAAGACAGGACGACGCCGCCTGGGATGCGACGCGGCTGCGATAAGGACGGCCCTGCCTAGGATGCGACTCGGATGCGACAAGGATCACTGTGCAACTGGCATGGACATGTGGCAGACAAGACACAAGACAGGACAACACAGTGACCAGACACGACAGAACAATCACGCCTCGGATATGTTACGGATGCCGAATGCGACGGCCCCGCCTCGGATGCGTTTCGGATGCGAAGAGAAACACTGTGCTACAGAGCAAACAAGACAGAACAATCCCGCCTCGGATGCAAGACAGACCTACACACACAAGGGTTTTTACACACAGAAACTCTTACACACAGAAGGTTTTACACACAGATGCCTTTATACACAGAAGCTTTTACACACAGATGCTTCTACACACAGAAGCTTTTAGACACAGAAGCTTTTACACCCACGAGCTTTTACACACAGAAGCTTTTACACAAAGAAGCTTCTGTCAAACAGAAGCTTTTACACACAGAAGCTTCTACACACAGAAGCTTTTACACACAGATGCTTCTACACATAGATGCTTTTAGACACAGAAGCTTTTACACGAAGCTTTTACACAGAGAAGTCTTTACACAGACGACCTTGTTACACACAGAAACTTTTACACACAGAGGCTTTTACACACAGCTTCTACACACAAAAGCTTTTACACACAAGTTGCAAAATCGCAATTTTACACAAGTTTTTGCCGTTGGACCTTCATTTTGCGCGAAAAGGTTGCATCCCAAGTTGTGAAACCGCAATTTTACCGCATTGTATGCCGTTGGACCTTCATTTTGCGCGAAAAGGTTGCATCCCAAGTTGTGAAATCGCAATTTTACCGCATTGTATGCCGTTGGACCTTCATTTCGTGCGAAAAGGTTGCATCCCAAGCTGCGCGCAAAACGAAAAATGAAGATGGAAAACGTCAAAAACGACGTTTTACCTAGGTTTTGGGCACTTTGTCGAGGTCCACGGAGTACTGTGCCTGCCACGAAAAACGAGTCAAATTCGACGACGGTTTCACAAAACGCGATTTTGGACCGTGTCATCAAAATTCACCAAATACTGCGCCTGCCACGAAAAATGAGATCCGAAAGCGCGTCTCATTTTGACCCACGCCAACGTTTTAGCAACCTGCCAAAAGCCGCAGGCCTTCCACGTTTTTGCACAAGCGCCCGATGTCCCGCACCTGTCGCGCAAAACGACGTTTGGAAACGTTTGGGGCCTCCAAATGGCACGGGTGCCCCACGCCTGCCACGCGAAATGGACATAGCTCCAAAAACGACCACGGCATGCTTGTAAAACGAGATCCCGCGGAATAGACCCGGCGCAGACCCAATTTCGTGCGAGCCTGCGCAGTCGAAATGCACATAGACATGTCAGAAGAAAACTTTTGTGCGAGAGGGCCGACGAAAATGCGCAGTTCCAAAACGGCCCCGGTCACTTTGCACGAGCCTGCGCACTCGAAATGCACATGGACGTTCAACAAGAGCCACTTTATGCGAGAGGGTCGACGAAAAAGCCGCGCCCCAAAGTCCGTGATTCAACGAAGCAGGCGTTACTCTTACCGTAAGAAACCCTTAGTGTGGACACACTGCCTGGGGAAAAACAACAAAAAACAAAACAAAGAAACAAAAAAAAAAAACAGAAAACATGCCAAAAAAAACAAGCATAAACAAATACAAAAATGAAAAACAAAACAATCACCAAATTAAAACAAAAAACAACAAAAAACAAAACAACATCAAAAAGCGCTCAAAACATACAAGTAGTTCCCGGGCAAGCCGGGGGCGGAAGTTATACCCTATAGAGCGGAACAAAAGCTGTGCCTCTAGATTGCTGGCAGTGCCATCTCTTGACTTGCCGCTGCAGTCCCATGTCTTTGATCTGATCTCACCGCATCGCGGCTGTTCTTGGAACCTGCTCATTGCATCCCATTGTCACCGCAGTCCATGTCATCCCATCTCATCTCATCTGATCTCATCTCATGTCTTCTCAACTTTTCTCACCTCATCTCATCTCATCCCATCTCATGTCTTCTCTTCCTTGCGCAGCTTGTCTCAGCTGATCACATCTGTTCTGATCTCTTCTCATGTCACCTCTAAACTTTTCTCATCTCTTCTAAGCTCATCTGAACTCTTCTCTTGTCAGCTCTTCTCAGCTTCTCCATTCTACGCAGCTCGTCTTAGCTCAGCTCTTCTCAGAGCTGCACCACGCTTCTCCTGTCAGGTCGTCTCAACTCATGCCATCTCATCTCAGCTGGTCTCAGCTCTTCTCAGATTTTCACAGCTCTTCTCAACTCCTCTCAGCTCTCCGCAGCTCATGTCAGCTCATCTTACGTCTTCTCATCTCTTCTCTCCTCTTCTCACATCTTCTAGGCTTTTTTCGCATCTTCTCAGCTAAGCTCAGCTCTTGTCACCTCTTCTCAGCTCTTTTCAGCGCACTCTCAGATCATCTCGGCTCCTCTCTGGCCCAAGACCTGCGCCAAAAAGAAGCTTTGACATGCAGAGGCTTCCACACAGAGAAGCTTTTACACACAGCAAGCTTTTCCACACAGCACGCTTTTACACAGAGGAGCTTTTACAAGCAGAAGCTTTTACACACAGATGCTTTTGCACAGAGAAGCTTTTTGCACACAGACGCTTTCACACACAACAAACTTCAGCACACAGGAGCTTTTACACAGAGAAGCTTTTACACACAGATGCTTTTAGGCAGGAAAGCTTTTACACAAAGCTACCTTTTACACACAGAAAACTTTCACACAGAGAAGCTTTTACACACCGCAAGCTTTTACACGAAGAAGCTTTTACACACAGCAAGCTTTTACACAGAGAAGCTTTTACACACAAAAAACTTTTACACAGAGCAGCTTTTACACAGAGAAGGTTTTACACAAAGAAGCTTTTACACAGAGAAAATTTTACACACAGAT